GGGCCGGCGGACTTGGGGCTGCTGTTTAACTGTGTGTATTAGCTCGCATGAGAGAGGAGAGAGGGAGAAGGACGAGAGGCCCCAATTCTCGAGAGAACACGGGGACTCCGCACTATCATCCAAAGCCTCTCAGCACATACCCTTCAAGTTGTCCTAGCTGCGCCCTACGTAACGGCTACTTTTCGACTATCTACTTCTACGCACGAACACATTATACACTCGTAAACTTCCTTCGACGCACGCCACACCCAACGTGACGCACGCTATACTCTCTGCCGGGGTGTGCTGTGCGCAAGCCGCTTGCTCCGCGTAGCCTGGCAGAATTTTCAAGAATTTTCTTCATACGGAATCGCGATGATGTGTTGTAACTCGTCTACACATGTACACCTTCACGATATGGGGAAGATGTTGAACTCGACGCCAAGTCACACTTTCTCCAGTTCAAAATCGAGACATTCCGAGAACTGTTCATTACGGTTGCCCCGTATCACCAGTACTTTCATCTTCACTCGCCAGGGCGTTCGCGCCAAGCGAACCCAGTTGCCGATAAAAGTATTTGTTCGGTATGACTGCTGTTCATCACCGTGCCAAAGGAAACAAACGTTAGACTTGTTTCGATTCGACATTAGATCCTTTTTCTTCATCGGGCTATTCGTACTCTGGAACTCGCGTGTACGTGGTGGAATAGTGTGGCCCGCTTAGGGGTACGCTTTTTGTTTTGCAAAAAAATGCTGTTTAGAGGGATCGTGTGTGGAGTTTGTGCGCACGAGAAAAAGAATAATTTGCATGCACAGGGGCGTGAAAATTTCGCAATGGCTGTCTGTCTGTCTGTCTGCGCGCCCTAAATACCCAGCAGCCTCGAGCCCATTTCACCATCTCGGCACCAAATTGCAAACTAAAACTTGCGCAAAACAAGTAACATTTTGCCCGAGCTGTCCCAACCGCTACCTTTGCAATCCGTGGTCGGTGTCTCGAGATGGCACGCCGTTTGTGCAAATATATATGTCACATGGACGCATCCCCGGGAGGCGTCGTCATTTTTGTTTTTCTCTGGGCAACAAACTACACGCACGCAAGAAACCACGACGCACTGCCGTGCTGCACACACTGCTGCTGCTACTGGCAAGACACGCACTACACAGAGACAGGGAACATGGACAAGGGGGGCGGGACACACACACATACTGCTGTTAGCGACGGCGGAGGAAGCGGGGAACGTTTGGTTGGTCTGGGGTTCATCGCTGATGATGTTGTTGTTGTTGTTTCCGTTGTTTGTTGTTGTTGTTCAACGCTGCCGGCCTTTTTTTCGCCTTTTGTTCTCTGGAGAGAGAGGGAGTCCCACCAACCAGCGTGTGTTGCACACACCACACAGCGAGAGCGGGACGGGAGCAGGGTGTGCCCTATACTACTGCTGCTGCTAGCTTTCGGCGGAGGAAGCGAGAGGAGAGATATTGATTGGGTCTCTGTGGGTCCATCGGTTGGTTGTTGTTATTGTGTTGCGACGCGGCGGGAGGGAGCGGCCTCTGACTCTGCTCTGGAGAGAGGCACACATACATCACAGCACGGGACCAGTAACACATCACGCTCGTTCCTAGACGATGTAGTACCACTGCTGTGCTGTGCACCTCTCTACACTCATTGTGGGCGAGAGGGTGTGTCGCCTCTGCTGCTGCTGCTGTTGCTGTTATCTAAAGCGGTGGCGGAAGCGTCCTGTTCAAACAATCAGCAGCAGCAGCAGCAGCCGGGGAATTTTTCAACGTTTTTTTTTTCCTCTCTAGCTGATGACGACGGATGGCCCCCCCCCCCCTCAGATGATAGCATCCCCCCCTCACGGCTGACGATGGATACCACCCCCCTCGCTAGCTGATGATGGACACCCC